TTTGAGTGAAAAACTAAGGAAAATTGTGTTAATCACCAAAATGTGTATACAGACACTGCAACATTATGTCAAATGCATCTGCTCCTGCATAAGGTGACGTGATTTGCAAATGACGTCATAATAGACTCACTGACGCCTGGTCGTAGAAGTAGAATTTTGATTCGCATTAGTTTACTTCGCATTAGCTGTCGTGTGAACGCAATTTAATTCGCATTATTTTGATTCGCATTAGTTTACTTAGCATTAATTTACTGCGAATTAAACTCGTCGTGTGAACAGGGCATTAGGTATGGTTTTACAATACTAATATACTAAACAATAAGCATATATAGGTACAAGAATTCTTTTTTAATTTATCTTAGCTTTATCGAAAAAAAAAACAATGTTAATCATAAAATTATACATAATTTCCTAATGAAGCCGCTTTCTTTGTTGAATTAAATTTATCATTTTAAATTTTATCGGGGCATTTTTCCACAACTTAACGAGGCCCGATCTACTTGATCTGCGCATACGTTTTAACGCAGCGTCGACTCAGGCACGTCACAATACCCTTGACTGCCGTCACAATTGAACACAATAACGTCACAATTAAAATGACGTCAAATTGCGCTAAAATGTTTCGCCGATCTTGTTTACCTGGTAGCTCTACTAGTACAATCTGTGCATGTTGAAAGCTGGCATTTCTGTTATTTAAGGAATGAATTTAATGGCTACCCATTTTATACGGTATAAACTGGGTTGGGGCAGTTTACGCTTTACAAACCGCGAAGCGGTTTATAAAAAAGCGTAAACTGTTCCAACCCAGTTTATTCCGTATAAAATGGGTAGATATTAAATTCATTGCTTATAATTTAATTTTCATTCATTTGATGCAAGAAAAAAAGGTGATTGTTCTAATAAAATGACTTCAATTATGTACCAAATTTGAATGTAACGTCAGGCGGATTGATACGTTTTTTACGTAAGTCATTGTGATGTAGGCAACCCATTTTATACGATATGAAGTAAATTTTTTATCCAATCAAATCAAATACAGCGTTACAATCAGAATTAAATTATTTACATTTAGAAAAAAATATTTGTTTAAATTAATATTACACAGCTTTGGAACATAATCAATTTTGAGGGATCAATTTTTTGGTACAGATTCATTAATGTGAGTTTAAAAAAACAAACACTGCAACCAAAGGTAAACGATTTTAGTCTTTCTTCTTGAACATGTTGAAGTGTTTATACATACTCTTTTTATTGAGGACTTAAAAATGCATGGGTTATCTTCAGTTTTAAAAAAATTAGTTTATGAATCATTTAAATGCAACACCCAAAATCTTTTAGTTTTCTATATATTACATGATATTAGTAAAAATCGTAATTTTGTCGCCTCAACACCCCCCCTTTCGTCCCTCCCTCCCTCTACGGGCGGGGCCATTTTTCCACGTAAAACAACGTTGCGTGTTAAGAGGAAAATAAAGCATGTCGAGAAAATTATTTCATAATGTAAAAATTATTTATTTTGTAGAAACTAATATAGTATTGCAATCGCTTGTTGATGTTATGTAAACCCATTGCGACTTATAAAATACCTAATTGGATAAAATAAATCCAAATTTTGTGTTTTGACATGCCCCCTTTTCACTGTAATAAAAGCTACCTCAAATTTTCTTTTCATTTTTTTTTATAAGAAGAATAAAAAATTTATGATATATGTGAAAAACAAAGCATTTCCTCATTTATTTTTTTTTTAATTTGTCAATTTCCTTGTTTATTGGAGAGTTTTAGTATGTAATTGTTTATATAAAAACACGAAAAATGATCCATATCTTGACAATGCCCCCATTTAACTACAATAAATGCAAGGTAAAAAAAAATTAATTCTAATTTTTCTTAGCATAAAACAAACAAATATATTTCCAAGAATTAAAATTTTTTATCATTCCGTTTTCGTAATTTTCAACTAGATCGGGACTCGTTAAATTGCTTCGAGGTATCAACAAAAGAAATAGAATTTTAACGTTAACAAACTCTATAAATCCAATAAAACTGTAATAAAGAATATATAAATTTCTCTTTGAAACTCGTGTACGTGTTGGGTCTATATTATATTTGCAAACATATAAATGCAAAAGTCAACAGGTATAAAAGAATCGTCACTATGGTAACGTCAAAAAAAAGCTGCTATGAATTAGAACGACAAAGGTACCCTCTTAAGGCTTTTAAAAAAAATTATGTAGAAATTAAATTATCCTCATGGAATTTAATTTCAAGCCATGTGAAAAGTAATGCCGATACCTAATATGTATGTTTAATTTAAAATTAATTCTAATTCAATTTAATTCATCCATTGACATCGCCATCATACATTGCGATATAGTCATGAGTACAACAAATGAACATACGTAAAGAAAAAATATCCAAGAACGCATATCAGTTTTTTTTGGAGGTTTTCTCATTTATATCAAAGCACTTTTTCAGAATGTTACATACCTTCTAGCAATTTCAATACTCAGGGGTTGATAATGTCAATAACAGGGTTTTCCTTCATGTAACTTTGGACAATAACTATATAGCCACAGTGTAATCAACATTGATCATAACTAGGGCAATAAAGAACAAAATGTTTTTCATTTTCAATAAAAAGGTTTTAAAAATGACATTCGGGTTTTTTTTAAGGAATAGATTACTTTGAACATCTCCCCATTTCAATACGTAGTGTATGAGCGCTAATTCTTAGTTGTAAGGGTTGTCCTTTCACTTGTTCAATGGTAATTGTTTTGTTTATAATATATATTTATTTAAATTAATTATATCACTATAAAAAGGTTAATTTTCCAGAATCTGATTTAGAAATGTTGTTTTAATTATCACCGATTTTGTTACTCCAATGCTCCTCTAATTTATTTCTGAAAGTTTTTTGTGATATGTCAATTGAAGATAAAGACAATATCTGTTGTAGAGTATAAAGTTTTCTTTGCCAAGATATTCTAGACCCAGATGTTTTCTCTCTCTTAAATACAGACACCACTAATTGGTCATTATGCTCATTCTTTTTTTTCAAAACTGTAAAAATGCAGAACACTGTATACTCCTTTTATTTTCTACATTTTGATCTTAGCCCTGAACCTCGATGAAATTGTGTCAAAATGAGGAAAATCAAACCAGCGGTTTAAGATATTTTTACGTTTTAAAATACAATAATTTAATTCTGATTGTAACGCTGTATTTGATTGGATAAAAAATTTACTTAATATCGTATAAAATGGGTTATCTACGTCACAATGACTTTCGTCAAAAACGTATCAATCCGCCTGGCGTTACATTCAAATTTTGTACAATTTGAAGTCATTTTGTCAGAACAATATTCTTTTTTTCTTACATCAAATAAATGAAAATTAAATTATAAGCAATGAATTTAATAGCTACCCTTTTATACGGTATAAACTGGGTTGGAACAGTTTACGCTTTTTTATAAACCGCTTCGCGGTTTATAAAGCGTAAACTGCCCCAACCCAGTTTATACCGTATAAAAGGGGTAGCTATTAAATTCATTCCTTAAAGAAATTAAAAGATAGCGTCATTATATTTGTTTTGACATTTGACCTCTTAATATGACCTTTATATATCTAGTTTGTAAAAAATGTCGATTTTTTGCTGCCATTATATACTTCAATAAGACAAAACATGTGCACGTATACAATTTGAAACTGAGGTTTGATGCAACCAATTGTAACTCAGTAAAGAGGAATGAGAATAGATATATTAAAAATCCAGGATGCACACCCAGTACGAGGGTTGTCCGTAAAGTTCGTGGACAACATTGATAATTACTGACAAACATTGATAAAATATATGAAACTATTATTTTCATTAAAGTCATGTTTCATTTTATTAACATGCAAGTTTTCAACAAGAACAAAGTACAAATATTTATATTTTTATCAGATTAAAAAAGACACACACTTCTACTTGGAGCACTAAACTGAAAATTCTTGACGTTACCCGACGTCAAAAGCATAATACTAGTAGAAGTAACTTTTCTCAATATAGTCACCGTTTAACTCAATACATTTCTTATGTCGCTTAAACCAGTCATAAATATGTGCAAAAAATGTTCAGGTTTCATATTTTTAACAATGCCTGTCTCATATCCTGCAATCCTCCAACCTCTGTACGCGTAATAACGATTTTATTTACGGAAATACGGTAAAGTCACGTTACGAAATTCATTTTCTACTGCACTGCAATCCCGGAATGATGGTTTTTCTTCACGCAAGTCATCCTGTAAACTGTTCCTTCCGTCCGAAAATATTACATGCCACTGAAATACTAATGTACGGCTTCTTTTACTATGTTTTCCTGATTGTTTACAAAATTGGTATCTGTAGGTGTTTATCCGATGTATTCGCAGAATTTCATCACTGCTCACTGCTCCACCTATTCCGAAAACGTCCCTTTTTTGAACAATTTCCATCCCTCTTACTATGTTTTATTTTTGACCTTACATTTCAAAACTAAGGGTTCTTCTTGCGCTATAAAAATACAAAAGTTTCAGTATTCCAAAAATCTAAGAGTGATTCTAAGAATTTACAGGTTTGTGATGGATAAAATTTTTAGGAAATTCATATCCTTGCAAAGCGATACATATTTCACCTTACGTAAGTAGTAAGCAGAAAAAAAACCAATAAGAATATATCCATTTTATTTGCTGCCATTATGCTCCGATGCAATAGATAAAATATTGAAATTTGATGCAATGTAAACTTGTACATTTCTTTATCCAATTCTTCTACAATATAGATAGATATAACATATTTGTTGAACTATTTTTGAATATAGCATTAAGTTATTAATTTCTAGAATTTTATCGGAAAGCAATGGAAACTATAAAGTAAAAAAAAAATATAACCTACACATAGTTAAAAATGGGGAGCAAAATATGATCCAGCTTGATACCCCCCCCCCCCCAAAAAAAAAAATAGTCCGTGCATGAAAATAAGTAAATTATATATTCAAGGGGAATTGTTCATTATCCCATATAACACGCCAATGTTTCCCTAACCGAACTTTAGCTCGCCTCTTTTGTCTTCTCCGTAATTAGCATTATCACCTCCGACTCGGTGGCAGATAGCCTTTCATTGATTTTGTGCATTTCATTTTCTAGTTTCTCAATATCGTCTTTTGTAGCTATTTTCCTTGATAAGTCATTCAATATGGATAAAATATCAGCTTTCGTTTCCTCATGAGATACATTTGGCGTAAACTTTGATAAGCAGTTATGTGGTAAATCAAGTGCATCAAGCACTTTATCAATAGGTGTCATCAAACAGGATCCATACGATGTCTTGGCAACTGCTAACCCAATACATTTCAAAATTAAGGGGTCTTCTTGCGATATAAAAAAGACAAACGATCCAGAATCCCCATAATCTAGAAATGAATCCCAGGAATCAGACGTTTGTGATGGATCGAAATGGGGAAGGACTTCCATTTGTTTACATAGTGTTATAGAATCCGCCATATTATTTGTTGTATGTACATCGTAATGTACGTCATAATGACTCACATTTGCACAACAATTTCCAATTTTTAATGATCCGATTGTCATCCCACTTTTTGCACCAATCTTTAAAACAGGCTTTCGAAAGTTAAGTGGTTTTACTTGCTCAATTTCCCCTTTTGCGAATTGTGGAATGTTGCATTCAGAAAAACCTGTTGAATAAATAATCGTATTATATTAATATTGCATGTAGTGGAAGAAAATGAGAAATTTTACAAAAAAGAAAGCGAATGTGTACCGCGGCACAGTTTGTCGACGCTCTATTTCCCCTTTTGCGAATTGGTAAATGCTGAAATTCAGTAAAACTAGGCCTGTTAAATGAATAACTGTATTATATAAATAGTGCATGAAGTGGAAGAAAAAGAGAAAAATTATTCCATGAAAGCGAATTTAAACCGTCGTGCAGGATGACAATGATTTTTGAAAGGTGAAACTTTCAATGTATCCTCAACTAGAAGCAATACTTCTTAATATATTTTACTGAGATGCAAATATAAGGAATACTAAGTATTATTCATTCTTAAAAGTTTAAACCATACAAATTACTGATGTATGAGCACAGCCACCATATACCTCTGAAAATGAGGTGGGAGCAGGTGCCATTGAAAAGTAAATATTTTCAATTTTACTGATTAGTGTTGTGCTCCTTGTGATGAACATGCATGATAGTGGGATACTGGTATATCGAATCAATGTAGGAATGAAAATGAATATTGTTTAAAATAAATTAAACTCTTCTACATATGAATAACTGAATGTTAAATCCAAGGCTAAGACAAGAGGTTCTGTCCGTGTAGAAGTTTTTGAATGAATCTTGCTAACATACATATATGAACGGTGAACTGTATACGTATATGATGTTTAAATTTTGTAGAGTCAACGTTTTTGTAATAGCATTTATCATCAAGTAAAGTGGGTATGTCTTGGCACACACGAGATCATTCAGATAGCACACATTTTTAAACATTTTGCGAAAAATTAGGTTCCACAAATCTACATAAAAGATAACTGTTATTAAACTATTTTCTTTCAATAATCAAAGTTTTAAAATGATACATTTAATACATACCTGCTTTGATGAACTGCTCAGTATGATAAACATTTGCAAATTTCCCATCGGTTGGCAGTCTATCCTGTTTTATCTCAACCAAAGCAGCATCAACGCTGACTTCCTTTGTACGTCCATAACTGAATATAGCTTTAGTAACATTTCCAATTTGGCAGGCGTTTTTAGTTAAAACTTTGATATCTCTTCTTTTCGTGTATTCAATAGCTCTTCCTTTCTTCAGAACATCACTGGGTAAAACAACATGTGCACAAGTAAGAAAGGCATGTCGGTTTGGATTTTGTAGGGTCACAAAACCACCCAATGTGCCAGTTGTT